CCTGTCTGCCAAATCAGATGCATGGGTTGGCCCCACACACTGAGCTGGCACACAGGTCCCTTCTGTCATGGTCACCTCATATAGCGCACTTCGCAGACCAGCCCCACGTGCTGTGTACACCATACATCACGTGGGGTCAGAGCCAGCACGGCTTCACGCAGGCCAGCTCCGGCAGGTGGGCCATATCTTTGACACCCCTACTCTATGAGATGATAATACTCTTCTCATTTCTAATGAAGCTCGTTCTTCCATTGTAGGAGAAAGTGACATTTGTAGTGATGCTTCACTATCAACCCACAACAAAGGTTAGATGTTGCCTGTGTCAAGTTCAAACAGGATATGTTTCCATGTATTGTAAAGGCTTCTAGCATCAGGCTGCTTTCTCTGAATGCCAGTTCCCAAAAATCATGTACTTGAAAGCCCTGCTACATATCTTTAAATGTGCCGGCAGCCATTACAAATCCAGCAAAGATCTTTATTAAGGTTCCCTATCTTAAAGAAGCCGTTGGGTTGTTAGCTAAGACTCATTCAATTCCTATTACTTCATATTGCAATGGAAGTTAGTTCTTATATGACCTTCTTTTAGGCTCCCCCTCCCCTGAGTATATTAAAATCATTTTCTTCAAATTTAAGATCCATTTAACATTTATTCCTCTTTAAACTAGAATCTAGTAGTGTTGTAAGGAATCTTTTCTCCCCCCTTTTATGTACTGCATAATAGCGGTGCCCTATTGTAGTTTCTAAATCCCTGGGACTACATAGTGCCTCAAAAGGGAGGGATGTGAGGAAGAAGTCAGCTGCCCGTGTTCATGACAGGGTACACAGTGGATACGTCTTGGGGAAGAGTCCTCTGGGGGGATTCCTCTTCCAGATACTACTGAGTGTGTGGCTCTGTATCATTTCTTATTATGAGCTAAATGGTGGAACTGGACCTCTAATTTATTACCTTTTGTTCTGTGGTCATTGATTGATTCAGCCACTTAAATGAAGAGACATATTCTAACAATGACCCAGATCTAATCCTGGGTACCAAATATAACAAGAAAGCTTGTCATAAGAGTAATCCTCTGGACCTTTGGGTCTATTCAGTACCATCACTAATGGCAGAAAATGCTTTAAAAAATCTCTGTTACAACTTTCCATAATTAGTTCAAGGAAACCTACTAAAAGAGCAAGGGAAGTAGGACTCTCCATGTTATGTGGCCCTCCAGCCATGCATCTGAACTACTTGGCCTTAGGCAAACAAATCCCTATTCTGCAGTGTCAGGAAACTCTATCCTATTCCTCCTTCTCTAACCTTCCTCAGCTAATAAACCGTGCCCAAGTCCCCTCTGTCTCTAATACATCCACTGAAGTCTCACTCTGACCCTTTTTTCCGGACTCCTTGACAGGCCTTCTGCTTGCAGCCTCCATCTAGCCAGCAGGTCATATTCACAGCAGCAGCACCTGACAGAAGAGCCCCTGGTGCTCAGCTGTGGTTTCTTTGTTCTGTCCCCTCGTTCTCTATTCCTGTGATCACCTCGTTATTATGTTCTCTCTTGCCTTCCCTGACTCTGCAGGAATCAACAGTAACTTCCCTCTCCATCTGCTGCTGCAGAAGGCTCCTGGGTTGCAAACTGCCCCTCCTCCCATATTTTTATCTTTCTTTCTTTCTCCTTCCTCCCCCCTTCCCCCCTCAAACTCTTCAGGAGTCAGCTGTCACTTGGTTTTATTTTCTCATGGCTCCTTTAACATGGTTACATATGACTTGCCTGAGCTATTCCTACACAGCTCAAAGAAAACGTGGCCAACTTTTGGCTGGTGTTAATTTAGCAGCCTGCGTCTCTTCCTCCTCCCTTGGGGTCCTACAGGCTATTGCTCCAGTGTCTCCACTCCTTGTCTCTTCATGACTCAACTGCAGCTGGCATGGCTGCTTTGAGCAAATCTGGGCCCTCCTGTGAAGTTACTCAGTTGAGCCCTTCCCTCCTCCAAGTTGTAAGGGCCAAGAGTCAGAGTGTGGCTTTCTTTTCTCTTCACACTTCCAAAACTGCTTTCCTATCAGCTGCAAGGATGGGGGGATGTGGTTTTATAAGGTAGAAATAAAGAAGGGGATTGTGTGTATTTATAGAGGAAATCATGGAGAGTGGATGCAGGTGGCTAGGGGGAAGATGGACTTTCCCCCATATTATAGCCAAGGCTCAGGACAGACGGGGAGATGCTCTCTCTCCCTGTCCCCCTCTTTCTCCCCAGTTAAGGTTGCTTCGACTTCCACACTCTGTCAACACACGTGCCCTACCACTGAGGCACTTTGCATACAAGAAAGCACTGCATGCACACTTTGGCTCTTCTTGGGGTGCAAGAGGGAATCCACACAGTGGTGTCTGAACCAGATCTCGAAGCTGGGCCTCGCGGGCTGCAGGTCACCTGCTGGAACTCAGCAGGCCCTGAACTGCTCATACCAGGAAGGAATTTAAGGGGTTCCTTTCCAGTGGGAGAATTTAATGAATTGACCCTTTCCTGCTTCTACATCTTTTTGTTATTGCCCTGGGGCCTAGTTAATTTCACTCCCCCTTTTAATGAGTCAAAGGGGTCTACTTGGAGGCTTTCCAAGGCTGAGCTTCACATGCTTCCTGTGTCCTTACAAGCTTAATCAGTTTGCCACCAAAAGTCTCATTAGATGTAATGTCAGCTCCATTTCTGATACTCCCTCTCAGAGGAACTGTATCCTACACTTGCAGGGTGATGAATTGCCAATATACTCCAAATAACTCACGTCCCATCTTCTATGTCCTTCTTTTTTATGCCTTCTCAGAAATAGAGCTACATGCTTTTCAGCTTTCACTGTTCATCTAGAGAATATGAGATTGTCCTAATCTCAAACTTTCTGATTTTAATCTGCTCATAGCTAAAATTCAAAGCCTTAGCTGCTTCTTGTTGTTCCTTGGACTGGGTCAGTTGAGACTGTTCATCATTAGGAGCTAAGAAGCACACAGCTGCTGCTGGGTATGCTCCAATCCAAAAAGGGGAAGTATGTGCTTTAAATGGTAGTGCAAACACTTGTGCTTCTGGGAAGCAATCATTCTCATTTACTGCAGGTGAATCATACTGTACTAGCTGGATGACTGGTGAATCACTGGAGTATTTGACATGTTAGAGTGGTGGAAAATGATTCATCAAAGATTTGATCTCTGGAGATTGTTTTCTTTGGGAGAAATTTTGGGGAGCTGAATTCTTTCTCTCTCTCTCTCTCCACTAAAGCATAGTTGGAAATAAAAAGAGAGAATCCTACTAAAACAAAGAAAAAAAAGAGCAAACACTGTGCTAGCGGTTTGAAAGCCGTTCCCACAGACTACTTGCCTTTCTGTCTCTCAGTGCATCTAAGGGAGCTGCAATTAGTTGGCAAGAAGGGAGAAGCTGGGGGAGGGAGATGGTGTGGCTACTCTGCAGTATACCTTACCTATGCCAGACATAAAAACGTAAGTTGCAAAATGCAACTTACCTGCCATGCATACTACTTGAACATCTATGAAAAGTTTGGGAGGGGAAATGCACTTGTGTATCTCATTTATATTTGACTTTCCACAGAATTAGGTTCCAGTCCAATATTATTTTGCCAGCTTCCCTAAGATCATCTAGTGGGGATGATTTCCATTTCAGGTATAAGTAGTCTCAGCTCTAGTAATCATAAAATGTAATATGGTTTTCAGTGCAGCAAGAGCGGTAACACCCTCATAAAAAATCCTATTTATGTTTGATTTTGAACATGGTATTACAGTGATTTAAAGGGTCCATGTCAGAAGCATACCAAGATTAGCAGCCTTCTATTGGTCTTAGTCTTATTCACCTACAATTTTCAAAGATGTATTAATAGCTTAAATTTTTAATTTGAATTTTTCTTCAATTTAGAATATCATTAGGCTGAAAGGTGCAAATGAATGAGTCAGGCAATGGTAACTTGGTCTGTTCTGAATTTGCACGCTTACATACAGGAGAGCCAGATGTTTAAAACTTGTTCCCCTTGTAGTCTCACAATTATGGGGGTATAATTTATGGATCAGATTGTATGCTGCACTGTGAGAAAGATCAAGGGGCCTTTAAGTCACTGTTAAGCCCTACTCAGTTTGAGCTACTGAAGAGGCTGAAGCAGCTGCCTGTGAAATCAAGCAGGACCCAGTTTTGTCCACCTTGTCTAATGTGTTTCTCAGCAGGTGGAGATATAATTATTGGCTGAGTATAGTCCTACTCAGAGTGAGTAAGCAGTAGCATGTCCCAGGCTTTTAGGGCAAGGCCTTACACTGAAAAGCAACTTGGGACAATGAACTTGCCTAACTTTCCATGGGAAAGCACCAGATGTAATGCTGGTGCTAAATAGATACTGATATTGCATTGTTATTTTTATATGCTGTGTTGTTGTTTTATTATAATTAATACTGTGATGGGCATAAGCTTTTTGCACAATTAAAGTGATGAAGTAATAATACAAAATATGGGAGTTCCTTTGTCTAATGGATAAAAGGAAGTAGCAATTAGGGAAGCTATCATTAACTCTGTAGACCTTTGCAAGGACAGTAGAGAGCTACTTAATAGAAGGTTTGGAAAGTGCTTTTTAAAAACCCTATTAGAAAAATACTCGTGTTAAATTGCTTGGGCTCCCCTACCCAAGTTTCAGTGCCTAGCTTCTAAGATAGTTCCATATTTATTATTTTTAAAAGAAAATACTTCAACTGTCCTTAATTTACCTTCGACTGAAATATGGAGGGAAACCCTTACAAGAGTTTATTATTAATATTTGGTATTATTAGCAATCATGTTACCAGACAAGAAAACTTAACACCACAGATTCTCTTTCCCAGGAGTGTTCCCTCCTCACCCAGGAGTGTTCTGCGTGTGACAGTATGGCAAAAACAAGTTATCAACAGGAATCAAATTCCTGAGAAGTCTGGTCATTTTAAAGTTCCTATATAAATGAATAGATTCTAAGGCCTTGTAGGCTGACCTCCAGCACAATGTAAACCATGGAGTATTACTCAGTGGGCTTGTCTACATGTTCATTAATGTACTTCTGGTAATACGCATTAAATTTAGAACCTCCATTGTGAGGTACTAGTAAAAGGCATATTAGTCTATTTTACTGCACGTTAGTGGAAGTGCACTTTTTGTGATGCTTTAATGCACATTAAAATGGGCTAATGCGCATTAATGCGCATATGTAGACACACCCAGTACTTCCTACATTGAGCCATATCTACTGACTGTTCTTTAAAAGCCTCTCTTATTTTGTGGCACACAGTCACCTCAGCTGCAATCTTCTCCCTTAGCAACCTTTGCCCCACACGAACTCTTGTTGGGTACAGTATGCATGTGCATGTTTGTGTGTGAGTGCGTACACTCTGCGTCTTTCTAAATATAGCAGTATAAGTACAGTATGTTCTGCACACTAAATCAGCACAGTGCGATCATTTTAACCCCAGCTTGGTGCTGCAGCTGCTAGTACTCAAGCAGCATATAAATTTGGCATCCAGTAGTTGGCAGAACCTCAGGACTGTTCTTCCTCTTTAGCTAATAATGGCCTATCTAGGTTCCCCACTCTCCAAATGTATTTGGTTTTAGGGTAGGCTTTTCTCCAGAGAAGTGTTCTGCTTGCTATTTTACAGATGCAAATGTAAGGCTTTGTGACATCTACTGCCTTGAAACATCACTCCTAGGGATGGTTCTTGGGCACAAAGTGAGGGAGGATTACAATTTAGTGCATGTTCCTTTGTTAATTTGTCATATTTGTTGATTTTAGAAAACAGTTCTTCCAGATGAAGAATCCACTCAATTCAGTGCCAATCTCTGTATAGGACTTGGTGTATTGCTACTAGGGGGCTTTCAAAGAAGTAAACCTCCTCTCTCCTGGATGCCTCTCTGCTCCATTTGAGAATGGTGTCGGCTGCTCCCTCACTCCCTAATCTGACTGGAGCATTTTTTCCCCAGAAGCTATGATTGGCTGCTCTTTTCCAGGAGGTGGGGAAATGTGGAAGGCAGCTAGCCAGATGGGCTTTTGTCTTTTGGTTATTTGAAAAGTAGGTGTGAAAGCAGGAGCTTCTGGCATCACAGTGAGCTTGGCTCCATCAGGGTCTTAGATCATATTATTTACAATAATTTGTGAATATTACAATATAACTGTTTCACCTGGGACCTAAACCTCATTTGAATCCAGCTTCTGGAGGTGGACGTACATTAAGGTGGATCTGAGCTCACTGAAGTCGTGGATACGCACCATGGCTGAGTCTGGCTCAGGAAATCACTTTGAATTGCCTCCCCCTATCCTGTTCATTGCCAGTTGCAAAGATCCTTGTTGGGTTTCTGTTCATGGATCATCTAAAACAAGGTGCATGGTACACACTGTGCTGTAAAGCTGCATAGTATCTGAGGACTCGCACTGGACCATAGCGTGCATCCTGTGTTAAGTAAAATGGCAGTCTGCTCTCTCTGACAGCTCAACACCTCTTAATAAACATTCTAGGACTTTTAATTCCCCTGAGTGATCAAGGGACCAAATTGGGAGCTAGTTCTGCTGGGAATTGGATAACTGACAGTCATATTATAAGGCTATGGTATATGAAGATGATAGCCTACTGTTCACCTAGTGAGACTCAAGGGAATCAAGTGGCTCTCTGGGTTTCTCTCCAGGTGTTCTCAAGAGAATCAAGGGAAGGCCAGGCCTCAGAGAGAGCAAGAGAAACAGGCAAAAGGGACTGGGAGAGAGAATCTGGATAAAGCCTGATAGTGGCACAAGGCAGTGTGAACCAAGGCTCTGGTTACACCCTTTGATGTTAGTGTGTGGAAACTACATGCTTCCAGGGGAGGTACAGTGATGTGCCCACATCCCCTTCAGTTCCTTGGTGTGGCTCAAAGCCAATCCCCTATTTAGCAACTAGAAACTGAGGCACGGAAGGTGTCTACACCAGAGGTGCTCAATCTTTTGGCCCCAGTGGCCAGATGTGTGGTGCAGGGCCTGTCTGGGGCCTGGCACTGCCTTCTCCCATCCCCTGTGCACTGTAAATGAGCCTCAGGGACCCAGCACTGGCCTCTCTAGCCTCCCACCCTCTGGGATTGGATCCTGGGGGTCTGAAACTGCCCCTTCCCAGCCCCCCTGCACTGGGATTGGGCACTGAGGCTCAGCACTGGCCCGGCACACTGGAGTTGCATGTCAGATTCAGCGCACAGGGGCTGGGGCTCTATGTGAGTCTGGAGATTTGGCAGCAGGGGAGCAGTGCCACCACTCACCCATCACCAAATTTCCTGACCTGTGGGGAACACCCCTAGTATACGCTGATTCCATTACACTCCTACCTGCTTTCATGCTTATCCCACGCTGCTTCCCCAGCCATCCAATCCAGCCTATGTTTTACTAATGGTAATGATCCCCTGCTGCTTTGTGCAGAGGGCTGCTCCCCACACACATTGCTGCCACTTCTGCTCACCCTCTGCTGCTGAAATTGCCACTCTAAATTGTTGGTTGTCATGTTTTTCAGCAGCTTATTTTTCAGTGAGCACTGCGTTATGGCTGCAAGAGAGCAAACCTCTCTACAGACCAGGCATGGCTGCAGCAGCAGCAGCAGGGGACTGGCAGCCCACTGCCACATCTGGGTTGCAAGGGGCAGCCAGCTCTTGGTAAAAGTTTGCCAACCCCTGGTATACCACAGGCATAGTCAGCCTCCATCCACCATCTGCACCCTGCTACTCAAAATCCCAGATTGGCCACTGCATGCTGCTTATGTTGCCCCATCAAGACCCAGCTCTGCAGGTGGTATAAATTGTTGCCCTACCTTGGAAATCAGTAGAGCTGACCGGCTTTTACATCAGCTGGTCCTCCAACAGCCAGAGAAACACCCAAGTAGTGTCCTTTATTATTTTCATCTTAAAGCCCTGTCTCTTGGAGTCAGGTGATTAAAAAGAACCCCAAATGCATTGTTTTGAAAAGCTCATGTTTAAATCAGTCTCATGAATGTGTTGGCTCAGCCTGTTGTTTTAGAATATATGGGGTTCAGAGTGCTGGTGTGCAGAGGTGTAACACGATTCCTTTGTGGCCTGAACAGCAGTGAAGCATAGAGCAGCTTGCTTCACTGATGGTACTGACAGCAACATGGTGACAGCCAGTCCAACCGCACAGCTGCTTCTATTTTTTCAGCCTCCCCCAAGATCAGTGCCTGGGGTTGGTGTCCTGGTCACCTCACCCCCTGCCTTTGTGCTACTGCTGGCACGTTCAGGTGTTCCTCCCTTAAAAGTGTTGTAGTTGGTGGGTTGCATATTCTAGTCTCTGCTTCAGCCATTTTAAGTCTTCAGTCTTGGTGGTATGTATGCCGGAAAATCCCTATTACTTCACACTGTGTTGTCTTCCCTACAGCTGCAATTCACTTGCTGTTATAAATGATGCGATAACTTAATTCTGATGGCCTGCCTGAGATGTTTTAATGTGCTGTAAAGAACAAATTTAGGCAGCACGTAAAATAAGTTTTCCCTGCCATATGACACAAACCACAATTGTCTGGCATGGACACAGGAGCCATGCCAGGAACCTGAAGTGAAACAAAGCCAGACATGATCTTTGATCATATGTGGTTTAAAATGAACAGCACAGATCGTAACTGCACTTAAATAACACATCTGTCTAGGGGTTAGCTGGTAACATACAATATGGGGTTTTTTGGTTTTGCTTCAATATGAATTTGAATGACTCCCAAGTAACAGGTGGCTTTCTGACAATGCCTAAAACTCTTGAGAAAGGACTTGTTGCCTCAAAAGGGACCTAGCATCTTAAAAGGTTCCTGGATAGCAACAAGCTTCTGACTGTTCTTAACTCTTTTGCTGCTGGTTCTTCAGTGTACTGCTGGGTGACAGGGGAACATCTACACGTGTAGTTAATGTGACTGAATAAACTACGGGGCAATTTGTGCTGGAGCTTATTGCTCCCAGGTGCCATATTAGCACATGCACGCAGGACCACGACAACTTGAGCAAGGTTGGAGCAGCCCCAGCTGGCAGGGGTCCAGGAGGTCTGCCTACCAGCCCAGGGCTGTTCCGACCCAGCTCAATATGCTGTGGAGGGGCTGGCTGAGCCACAACGGTGCTCTAGTGTGGGGTTAGCCAGAAGGAAGCTTCTACACTGATGCATCCTCATGCCCCAGCCAGCTGTATCAGCATCTACACGTGTGCTACTGCAGAGTAAATAACTCTTCTATAGGATAGTACTTGTGTTTACAAGTATTAACCTGCAGTGGAGTTAATTAGTTTGCTCCATCCTAATAGCACTGCACGTGTAGATGGTGACATTTTACTGCAGAGTTAATTAGACAACTCTGGGGTAAACGTCTCCTGTAGACACGTCCAATCTGTAATAATACATCAAATATCTATATATAACAAGTCTATATTTATTTCCTTTGGGCTAGAACCAAGAAAGGCTTTAGGTGTCTAGAAGATAGAAATTCCAATTCCTAACTTCTTGGCCTCTGACCCCGAGGTGGAAGCCAGACTCCAGGTTTTCATAGATTCATAGATGAAGGGACCTCTATAGATCATCGAGTTTGACCCCCTGCATAGGCAGGAAAGAGTGCTGGGTTCAGATGACCCAGCCAGATGCCCATCCAATCTCCTCTTGAAGATCCCCAGGGTAGGGGAGAGCACCACCTCCTTTGGGAGTCCATTCCAGTTTTTGGCCACTGTAGCTGTGAAGAAGTTCTTTCTAATGTCCTGTCTAAATCTGCCG